AAAGTGACCATCGACCGATGGACTCGACCCATAGTCCTCCGGCTATGTGCAGTTTTGCGCTCCCATGCGCGGATTACGAGGGTTGGGGGGATGGGTTGATGACCAAACGAGCCCCCTTTTGCATCACATTTAACATTACAATCAATTACCGCACCCGGATCATCAGTTTTAAAGCCACCCCATGTTGCCTCGTAGATAAATAATTGTGGTGGCTATTAAATTAATCAATACTGCATAACAATTGACGCGACACGGATATTGGCAAATCGCGTATTATGCAACAACGATGAGAAAGAGAGAGAGATGCAATGCCGACCGTTACATAATAAACCCATTTATGGTTTAATGAAGCCTCGGACAGATTGGACATTTGTATTTGTGTGTTTTCCGCCTTTCGGCAGGATTAAAATTATCCTCGAAAGCGCGCACCATTATTCCCATTCCAAAAATGGGTTAAAAGTGATTTCAATTAATATAATGGGAAATTTGCGAAATCAATGCGCGAAATTTCCCATTATATTAATTACCGACGAACTTTATGCAACCAATTATGTAACGATTATTTCATGCTTTTCATCATTTATACCAATATCTTTTTTTTTTGTAATATCACTTGTCGAGCTCGTTTCAATTGCAAAATATTTTTTTTTATATTTCTTTGCCATTCAATATTTATTTAAAAACTGTTGGTCGAACATTCGGGTAATTACTTCATGATTGACAATGAAAGCAATTTGCCAAATGCAAACGAAAACTTCAAACGGTTCAGTTATCATTTACATTTATCCATATCATAATTACCTTAATTACATACAGATTTTTCTATGAATTACATGCAGAATTATAAAACCATTAATTAGGAATTATTGAAAATGTAATAAAATTAAATAAAATGTTTTTTTTATGTTGGTCAAATTTTGGTAACAAAAAGTGTCCTTACATACAATTTTGCATAAGCGAAGTCTCCTGTGTAAAGAATTTGGCGGATTTATCCGCCACTCCTCCGACAATAAAATGTGAAACTGCCTTTTTAAAGTATAAATGCTTATTACACACATAGTTTAGCTTACGTAGTCATCGACTATCGCAATAAAACAAAAAGACCATTTCTTTGAGATTTAAAAACAGCTTTGGCGGCTTATTTCAACAAGTAATACTAATACTAACACATAAAACTTTGATAGATTATTACAAAAAAGAAAGAAAGTTGATTGATTATGTAACAATTGTTAAATCAACAGATGATCCCTTCATATGTAATCATAAAATATAAATTTGCAGTTTTCATTGTTTTAACTGTGGTGCAAGTAAAATTGGGAACAAAACAGAAGCCAACTGGAGGGGAAACATTTGTAAAGCACATAACAGAACGGAAATGGCGTATGTCACTGTAAAGCGGCTCAGTACTGTCAACATTCATAAACCGGAATTACCGTATTAACCGTCGAGGAAAAACAACACATGTTGAAATAGGGCCGCCCCAGAGGCTGAAATGATTGTATCCACAAAAGGTCACTTTATTTCCGTACCGATCGAGATTCCCTTACAACGAATCAAGGGGAGGAAATGAAGAAAAATTGTGTAAAGAAAAAAGTGCATTTCCTGTAACGGAAGTCGTCTCGTAATGATTTCCTACAAAATAATAGTGACACGTAAAAATCACTCGTGCAAAATGAAACGATGTGCGCTAATTAAGTTAATTATATAATGGGCGCTAAAGCTTCCGCCGCCCACTATAATTGGACTGAGGGGTGGCGGATGTTCCAGATACTCACCGCCACTTGGTTAACATTAATAAACACTAAATCGAGCCACCCCTCAATATTTGAATATACTCATACATTTATATATAATTTTTTTTTTCGCAAATTGCCGCCTGAATTTCCTAAATGTTTACAAAACAAACATACGCACACATAATCCGCTGCAAATACAAATTAATAATGAAATAATGGTTTATTGTTTCAATAAAAGATAAAATTGCGTTTAAAAATCAATCGCAATCATTATTTCCCAGTTACACGTAATTGGGGTCCGGGGTCGGGGCGCGACTGTTATGTAAATCCGCGCGCGAGCTGCTTTATTGACGAATAATAAATACCGGCGCCCACCCTTGCGACCTCCGCCGCCCTCTCGGCCTAAAGTCGGACGGGGAACTGTGGCGGTGCTACATACAATTTTACGCGTTCCCTGCGCCCCACATCCCCCCGGCGCCCTTTGCAAACACACGCACCGAAAATGTATTTAAAAAAAAGACACAAACAGCGAGAAAAATAAAATCGCATTTGTCGATCCAATGGACGGCTTTTGTACACGTGTACAAACAATTAGTTATGACTTCATTATGTAAATGGAAAAAGTTATTCAGCTTCGGACGTACCAAGTTGAGCGATCCCTTTCATTCGTGCGTACAGCGCTATTGTTTATTGCCTATTGTCAACTTACGTAAAGACTCAAGTCATTTGTCTGTCCTTATTATGATTACGCACAAACCATTTGTATTCTGCATAACCAAATTGCATAATATTACATTAATCGGACAAAGAATTTACCTACAAATCTACGCATTTACCATTTTTTTTCGTTCTCACGTACTCAATGTTCATACGAACGTACATTTTGTTAATAGTTTTTTAATTATTATTATTATAACAATCTGTTTCTATACAAAATAATGAAAACAAAAATCTCAAGTATTGACTTTTAATAATAATAATTACATTCCTGAAGATTCAGTGACTATCCTTCATGTATTTGAGAATATTATATATACATTAATTTGTTATTTCGTTATGTAATTTATTATTTTTATTACTATATAATAATATTATAGCTTTGGGAATTATTGGAACCATAGAAGATTAAAGTTGAGCTTATTATAATGGTTGTGTAGTTCCATGTAAATTGCTGTACACAATTTGATGAGCATAGTTGAAACGGGCAAATTCAAAGTTCGCAGTAGTCTCCGATTTAAGCCGGAAGTTTTGATTGAATTCCAGTGATTGATATAATTTCACGCGAAATGTAGATTGATTCTCGATATTGTCATCAATAGTAAAACAAAAGAAATTTCAGTTGAATCGATACCTGCAATTCCATCACCAAAATTGAATCTGATATTAAACAAATGCTCTGATTAATTCATTTTTTCTTGTATAACAGGTATTATTTGTATTTTTATTTCTATTATATAATTGTTTATTTTTCTAAATAGATTGTTTTAAGAATAAAATATACGGTTTATAGTTCGTAGTTTTCAATAAAATTTCATTGTTTGTCACATAATTATTTTTCAGTTTTAAAGTCTATTATATAATTGGGTGGTTTTAATTGAGTTATTAACAGTTGATTAACCAACATATAGACTGCTCCTAAACGTGTGTTTTACAATTATATATGGTGAAGGTAATTAGATTAATTACTAATAATTCAATAATCAATGATACACCGCAGACTAATCCGAATTATTATTTACTGGGCTATTATATAACCAGGATTTTACATTACATTGAATCGGCTTTGTTCGCGACGTGCGCTTTTTAAATCCTATTTCATTTTATTTGACCCTTCTACATGAATTAATATCAAAATTTGATATACAAAACTATGTAATATTAAATAATTTTCATATAGAATAAATCAAGAAGAAAAAAAAATAGTACTGTAATTATTATGTAAGAATTTGTTTAATAAATTATCAAATTTTATTTATTGAAATAATTTTCTAATAAATTTAACAAAAAAAGTAGATACACATTTTTTAAAATATAAAATGTAAGTTATAAAAATAATGTTTTAATTAGAAATATTATATAATGTAAACAATTTATAAATCGGTTACGAACAATTGAAACATTTTTTATTGTTTCAGCTATGCGATGTGTTCATTTCAGTTACGTAATATTCCTATTTTAATATTATTGTTTATAAATGTATATAAAAACAAATATTTTTGAATAAATACGATTTGATTGTTGTTTCAAATGGAAATTGAAAATTATATTTTGAAGTTGCAAATTTTGCGAACTGCGTGTTAATGAAGAGTAATAATAATAATAGTTTTTATTGGCCAATAACAATAAATAAATATAAAATTAGTTGTACAAATATAAACGTGACATTTCTAACTGGAAATTGGCCAAAATCGTAGTTTCAAAAAGCGTATTTTTGCTTGTTAATAGGAGAAAATAATATAAAAAAAAAATTGAAGAGTTTAATTGTAATTGAAGAGAAATAAAAGAAAATTGTAGGTATAAATACGGTGAAGTTCTTTACTTGATCATTAATTAAACAGGTATTAAATTGTCCTCTCATGCGAGCGACATTTTATTTTTAATTGCGTCGAGAATTTCTAAAACAAAATAAGCCTTTAAACATGGGGATTCCCCTACCCGTTAGAAAGTTTGCGTGATTTTTTTTTATTATTATTATTTTTTTACGTTGTCTCTTTGTCTTTCGTGTAACTCATTTAATATAGCTTAACGAGTGGAAATTCGAAAATGAAACAAAACTAAAATAAAGGTTATTAAGGGACTGTTGGTCATCTCTCCATTGAAATCCCGAAAAACATAATGTTAGTACTGTCAGGATTTCAAATGTCGGGAATTTTATTGTCGGGATTTCGATATATAATTCTCTCAATTATGCTACTACAATCAGTAGGAATTACAATCCGAGCAGGCCTGGAGTGTTGGTCATCTCTCCACTACTGTGGCAATCAAAATCTCGACAACCACAATTTTGAGATTTCAAATGTCGGGAATTTGATTGTCGGGATTTCGATATATAATCCTCTCCATTATGCTACTACAATC